CTTCACCTGCAAATCCCTCAACACCATTAACTGCTTCACCTGCAAACCCCTCAACACCATTAACTGCTTCACCTGCAAACCCCTCAACACCATTAACCGCTTCACCTGCAAACCCCTCAACACCATTGACTGCTACACCTGCAAACCCCTCAACACCATTAACTGCTTCACCTGCAAACCCCTCAACACCATTGACTGCTTCACCTGCAAACCCCTCAACACCATTAACTGCTTCACCTGCAAACCCTCAACACCATTAACTGCTTCACCTGCAAACCCTCAACACCATTAACTGCTTCACCTGCAAACCCCTCAACACCATTAACTGCTTCACCTGCAAACCCCTCAACACCATTGACTGCTTCACCTGCAAACCCCTCAACACCATTAACTGCTTCACCTGCAAACCCCTCAACACCATTAACTGCTTCAACTGCAAAACCCTCAACACCATTAACTGCTTCACCTGCAAACCCCTCAACACCATTAACTGCTTCACCTGCAAACCCCTCAACACCATTAACCGCTTCACCTGCAAACCCCTCAACACCATTGACTGCTACACCTGCAAACCCGTCAACACCATTGACTGCTTCACCTGCAAACCCCTCAACACCATTAACTGCTACACCTGCAAACCCTCAACACCATTAACTGCTTCACCTGCAAACCCCTCAACACCATTAACTGCTTCACCTGCAAACCCTCAACACCATTAACTGCTTCACCTGCAAACCCCTCAACACCATTAACTGCTTCACCTGCAAACCCCTCAACACCATTAACTGCTTCACCTGCAAACCCCTCAACACCATTAACTGCTTCACCTGCAAACCCCTCAACACCATTAACTGCTTCACCTGCAAACCCCTCAACACCATTGACTGCTTCACCTGCAAACCCTCAACACCATTGACTGCTTCACCTGCAAACCCTCAACACCATTAACTGCTTCACCTGCAAACCCCTCAACACCATTAACTGCTTCACCTGCAAACCCTCAACACCATTAACTGCTTCACCTGCAAACCCCTCAACACCATTGACTGCTTCACCTGCAAACCCTCAACACCATTAACTGCTTCACCTGCAAACCCTCAACACCATTAACTGCTTCACCTGCAAACCCCTCAACACCATTAACTGCTTCACCTGCAAACCCCTCAACACCATTAACTGCTTCACCTGCAAACCCCTCAACACCATTAACTGCTTCACCTGCAAACCCCTCAACACCATTGACTGCTTCACCTGCAAACCCCTCAACACCATTAACTGCTTCACCTGCAAACCCTCAACACCATTAACTGCTTCACCTGCAAACCCCTCAACACCATTAACTGCTTCACCTGCAAACCCCTCAACACCATTAACTGCTTCACCTGCAAACCCCTCAACACCATTAACTGCTTCACCTGCAAACCCTCAACACCATTGACTGCTTCACCTGCAAACCCCTCAACACCATTAACTGCTTCACCTGCAAACCCCTCAACACCATTAACTGCTTCACCTGCAAACCCTCAACACGATTAACTGCTTCACCTGCAAACCCCTCAACACCATTGACTGCTACACCTGCAAACCCCTCAACACCATTAACTGCTTCACCTGCAAACCCCTCAACACCATTGACTGCTTCACCTGCAAACCCTCAACACCATTAACTGCTTCACCTGCAAACCCCTCAACACCATTAACTGCTTCACCTGCAAACCCCTCAACACCATTAACGCTTCACCTGCAAACCCCTCAACACCATTAACTGCTTCACCTGCAAACCCTCAACACCATTGACTGCTTCACCTGCAAACCCTCAACACCATTAACTGCTTCAACTGCAAACCCCTCAACACCATTAACTGCTTCACCTGCAAACCCCTCAACACCATTAACGCTTCACCTGCAAACCCCTCAACACCATTAACTGCTTCACCTGCAAACCCCTCAACACCATTAACTGCTTCACCTGCAAACCCTCAACACCATTAACTGCTTCACCTGCAAACCCCTCAACACCATTAACTGCTTCACCTGCAAACCCCTCAACACCATTAACTGCTTCACCTGCAAACCCCTCAACACCATTAACTGCTTCACCTGCAAACCCCTCAACACCATTAACTGCTTCACCTGCAAATCCCTCAACACCATTAACTGCTTCACCTGCAAACCCCTCAACACCATTAACTGCTTCACCTGCAAACCCCTCAACACCATTAACTGCTTCACCTGCAAACCCCTCAACACCATTAACTGCTTCACCTGCAAACCCCTCAACACCATTAACTGCTTCACCTGCAAACCCCTCAACACCATTGACTGCTTCACCTGCAAACCCCTCAACACCATTAACTGCTTCACCTGCAAACCCCTCAACACCATTAACTGCTTCACCTGCAAACCCCTCAACACCATTAACTGCTTCACCTGCAAACCCCTCAACACCATTAACTGCTTCACCTGCAAACCCCTCAACACCATTAACTGCTTCACCTGCAAACCCCTCAACACCATTAACTGCTTCACCTGCAAACCCTCAACACCATTAACTGCTTCACCTGCAAACCCCTCAACACCATTAACTGCTTCACCTGCAAACCCCTCAACACCATTAACTGCTTCACCTGCAAACCCCTCAACACCATTGACTGCTCACCTGCAAACCCTCAACACCATTAACTGCTTCACCTGCAAACCCCTCAACACCATTAACTGCTTCACTGCAAACCCTCAACACCATTAACTGCTTCACCTGCAAACCCCTCAACACCATTAACTGCTTCACCTGCAAACCCCTCAACACCATTAACTGCTTCACCTGCAAACCCCTCAACACCATTAACTGCTTCACCTGCAAACCCCTCAACACCATTAACTGCTACACCTGCAAAACCCTCAACACCATTAACTGCTTCACCTGCAAACCCCTCAACACCATTAACTGCTTCACCTGCAAACCCCTCAACACCATTAACTGCTTCACCTGCAAACCCCTCAACACCATTAACTGCTACACCTGCAAACCCCTCAACACCATTAACTGCTTCACCTGCAAACCCCTCAACACCATTAACTGCTACACCTGAAAATCCCTCAACACCATTAACTGCTTCACCTGCAAACCCCTCAACACCATTAACTGCTTCACCTGCAAACCCCTCAACACCATTAACTGCTTCACCTGCAAACCCCTCAACACCATTAACTGCTACACCTGCAAACCCCTCAACACCATTAACTGCTTCACCTGCAAACCCCTCAACACCATTAACTGCTCACCTGCAAACCCTCAACACCATTAACTGCTTCACCTGCAAACCCCTCAACACCATTAACTGCTCACCTGCAAACCCTCAACACCATTAACTGCTTCACCTGCAAACCCCTCAACACCATTAACTGCTACACCTGCAAACCCCTCAACACCATTAACTGCTTCACCTGCAAACCACTCAACACCATTAACTGCTTCACCTGCAAACCCCTCAACACCATTAACTGCTTCACCTGCAAACCCTCAACACCATTAACTGCTTCACCTGCAAACCCCTCAACACCATTAACTGCTTCACCTGCAAACCCCTCAACACCATTAACTGCTTCACCTGCAAACCCCTCAACACCATTAACTGCTTCACCTGCAAACCCCTCAACACCATTAACTGCTTCACCTGCAAACCCCTCAACACCATTAACGCTTCACCTGCAAACCCCTCAACACCATTAACGCTTCACCTGCAAACCCCTCAACACCATTGACTGCTACACCTGCAAACCCGTCAACACCATTAACTGCTTCACCTGCAAACCCCTCAACACCATTAACTGCTTCACCTGCAAACCCCTCAACACCATTAACTGCTTCACCTGCAAACCCCTCAACACCATTAACTGCTTCACCTGCAAACCCCTCAACACCATTGACTGCTTCACCTGCAAATCCCTCAACACCATTAACTGCTTCACCTGCAAACCCTCAACACCATTAACTGCTTCACCTGCAAACCCCTCAACACCATTAACTGCTTCACCTGCAAACCCCTCAACACCATTAACTGCTACACCTGCAAACCCCTCAACACCATTAACTGCTTCACCTGCAAACCCTCAACACCATTAACTGCTTCACCTGCAAACCCTCAACACCATTAACTGCTTCACCTGCAAACCCCTCAACACCATTAACTGCTTCACCTGCAAACCCCTCAACACCATTAACGCTTCACCTGCAAACCCTCAACACCATTAACTGCTTCACCTGCAAACCCCTCAACACCATTAACTGCTTCACCTGCAAACCCCTCAACACCATTGACTGCTTCACCTGCAAACCCCTCAACACCATTAACTGCTTCACCTGCAAACCCCTCAACACCATTAACTGCTTCACTGCAAACCCTCAACACCATCAACTGCTTCACCTGCAAACCCCTCAACACCATTAACTGCTTCACCTGCAAACCCCTCAACACCATTGACTGCTACACCTGCAAACCCCTCAACACCATTAACTGCTTCAACTGCAAACCCCTCAACACCATTAACTGCTACACCTGAAAATCCCTCAACACCATTAACTGCTTCACCTGCAAACCCCTCAACACCATTAACTGCTTCACCTGCAAACCACTCAACACCATTAACTGCTTCAACTGCAAAACCCTCAACAACATTAACAGCTACACCTGCAAACCCCTCAACACCATTAACTGCTTCACCTGCAAACCACTCAACACCATTAACTGCTTCAACTGCAAAACCCTCAACACCATTGACTGCTACACCTGCAAACCCGTCAACACCATTGACTGCTTCACCTGCAAACCCCTCAACACCATTAACTGCTTCAACTGCAAACCCCTCAACACCATTAACTGCTACACCTGCAAACCCCTCAACACCATTAACTGCTGCAACCTCCTCACCATCTCCAACCTCCTCACCATCTGCAGGCTCCTCACCATCTCCAACCTCCTCACCATCTGCAGGCTCCTCACCATCTCCAACCTCCTCGCCATCTCCAGGTTTTTTGTGTTTCGCCATCTTTTCTATTTCAAACTTATTTTTGGTTGTGTCTGTCACTTCGCAAATGGCACACCCGTGTTTGATTCCTGGCAGGGATGAAACCTTGGGAAATTTTATTTCTCCACCCTCCTGATAATAATCCCTCAAGAGCAAAAAACAGTAATAATTTGGTCACTCAATCCACGACTGTTTGTGGGACGCTGCTGTGCGCAATTGGCTGCCATGTTTCGCCCACAAACTATGCAGTCAATCCACTTTTTCCAATATATTCTGTGAAAAGCTTTGAGACATCCAGAAGATGTGAAAAGCGCTATATCAAACACAAGGATTATTATTATTTATTATTTATCCTGTTTGAGAAAAATGTTTCTAATCTCATCATTTTCCACAAGGACCACATTCTATTTTTCTTATTTGTTTGTTTTCTAATTCATCTGCACCAGTTTACACCTCTGATTGTGTTGTGGGACCTTCGTCCTCGGGTGTAAATCCCTGGACAACGATTGTCCATCCACCCAAATGGCCATCGTCTATGTATGCGCCTCATTAGTGATTATTGGCGAGTCTGTAGAGGGCGTCACAGCTGATTGTCCACCCCCCCATCCCCCCATCCAGATGCCAAACACACACCAGTGGGACATGGTACATAATGGGACATGGTAAATAAGTACTTGGAGCAGGAGTCATGGCTCTCCGCCCTCACCAACCACGGGAAGGCTTTGGCATCTAATTTAGCCTCCCTGGAGACCAGCAAACCCAGCACTGTGACCTCCTGGTCTGTGAGCTGTAGTTCCCTCCTCTACACCATTAGCTCTGTCTACCTTTTGTCCCTCGCAGTGAAACAATTACTTTGGTGGAGCGAAGAATAGAGAAATACTTATAAACGTGCTGTTGCTATCCTGAATCATCCCTCACCCTCTCACTCTGCGCTCTCCTGTCCTCTACTTTGTTGTGTTTGCTCATGGAGTTTTAGGTGAAGTCTTAGCAGATACACAGTGTAATGATATATGGCTGTCATTTCCTTCTCCCAATGCAACAGGAACAACAATGACAAGTGAAGCATCAACTGCCAGCTCCAAACCCCCAACCACCTCACCCCCAACTACCCCTCCTCCAACCACCTCACCCCCAACCACTTTACCCCCAACTACCAAACGCACAACCACCTCACCCCCAACGACAACAACCACCAAACCAACTTCAACTTCAAAAGCTCCGTCAGCAGGTATAGTGAATATTCCTTTCATGCCGTTCGTTGAAGATTTTCTCATTGTGTCTCTTGACAGAATGTCTTGAAGACTATTTCAAACTCAGGTCAACCATGCAGTCCAGTACCCAGTGGTTAGAGCCCTCGCCTCTCAAGCGAGAGACCTGGGTTTGATTCCCAGGCAGGTCAGGGCAAACTTTAGGCAAGTTTCCTTACTCCACACTCTCACCTGTTTGGCAGTAAGTTGGAACCCGCTTTGTATTACACCCAGGTCCTCTCACTTGCGAGGCGAGTGCTCTAACCACTGAGCTACAGGACTCACGGAATGTGGGGATGGTCCATAGGGAGGGGTGGGGGGTCGATGGAACCAGGTGTGTTGGGGTTGTCTGCTCAGCGTGTGTCACAACTAACGCTCTGTCATTTCACACCCCCTCAGTAAATAAGTGTCAGAATGGAGGGACCTGGACTGGTACCGAGTGTAAGTGTGTTTCTCCGTTCATCGGCAAGTTCTGTGAATCCGCGTCTGAGACAGTTAAAGTTGGTGAGTATTTGTCAATCAAGTGTCTTTTACCGCACCTTTGGTCATCTTCCCACCCCTTCCCTCTTAGGTCCCCATGGAACCCCAGTTATGTAAATACAACTGGTTCTTGTTGTCTTTCTCTTGCGCACGCAGCTCGGGTCCAAATCCCTGACTGTCCAGCACTTTGGGACGTCCTCCTGAGGTGAGAGGCACTGTGTAAATGTAACTTGTTGTTGTTGTTTGTGGGTGTAAAATGGCTATAAAAACAGTTCTATTCCCTTTGTACAAATGTAATTTTATTGTTGTTTGTTTTTATGTCTGTTTGTTGGTGAACCTGGATTGTTCAGCGTAGAAACAGGTAATCAGGGCCAACTAGTCTGTGCTGATCTTTGCACACAATATAAGTCTCCACCCCACTGACGCTCCCTCCCTGTCACCCCCTCACCCTCTGTTCCTTTCTCCTTGGGAGAGGAGGTAAGATCTTTGGAACAGAACTGGCTCCAAGGTGACGTGTTTGCCAAGGGAATGTGGGAATCGAGCCCCCCCCCACTCTGTGCCGGTCTCTAGCCCCGGTTCCTGAGCCAGGAGGGGCCGCAGTGTCCCAGGGCACTCACTGCTGATGGCAGCCTGACCCGGCCCATCGGCTGGACCTGGAAGGGCCGACAAGGTTTTGCCCTTAGAACTAGGTTTCCAGCAGTGTTTTTTCTACCCAACACCTCTATTCATAACAGTTTGTTTTCAATGATGTGTAAAACACAGTCCTCTCCTGTGTGTGTTGCGTTCAAGTGCCCTGGGACGCTACACGCGTGAGGGGCGCAAAACAAATGCAAGTTGTTGTGGTGGTTGTTGTCGCTCACTAAGCGCTGTAAACTCGTTTACAGAGAACGTCACCAATACATTTGGTGCCTCAGTGAAAATAGGAAACGAAGAGTTCAAACCAGCGATGGCGGACAACCAAAGCACGGAGTTTAAGAACTTCACGAGAGACTTTAAGAACCAGGTTTGAATTGTTGAATACTAATGAATACAAATTGGGTTTGCACACACCTTCACTGAACAAGTTTGACCTCACAACACCACAAGGTCCTTTCGGATGAAGAAGCCCATTCTGACCATTAATCTCCTCCCTCCAGAAACACCCACCTGACCTTTCCCCCAACACAGCGCCCAGCTGCTTCTTAAATAAATCCCAGTGCCCTGTCCTCAACCACCTTTCCTGGAGCTCTCTGTCCCAGTCCTGTCTCCACCTGTTCACGGTATCTCCACCCACTCACTGTGTCTCCTCCCTTACCCAATGTCTCCACCCGCTCACTGTGACTCTGCCCACACCCCAAGTCTGCCCACACACTGTGTCTCCTCCCACACACTGCCTCCACCCGTTCACTGTGACTCTGCCCACACCCCAAGTTTCTGCCCACTCACCATATCTCCGCCCACTTACTGTGCATCCCATGTGGTGACCATCTTGCCTCTGCTTAACTCACAGATGGATCAGATTTATGGCAACATTGATGGATACGACAAAGTGATCGTGAAAGAATTGAGGTGAATTCATCAATGCAGCTTCTTCCACAAACATCCTTGATCGTTACTGTGAGCTGTGTAGAGGTTTCAGTGAGAGCCCTCCCACCCCAACCTGTCCCGACATTCCCATTCCAGGACATTCCTGCATCCCAGCCAAAAACACCAGTAAAGAGTCTGGAAATCCGCTTATCACCCTGTACTTTCAATGCCCCTCTTCCTGCTCTGCTGGATGCTCTGGCAAGATGGTGCCACTGAGTGTATACTCCCTCCCAATTTTTGCACCAAAATTAAACACCTCTCATTGTGGAGCACAGTGGTTAGAGAATTTACCTCGCAAGCGAGAGAACTTGGGTTTGATTCCTGGCAGGGGCGAAACGTTGGGCAAGTTTCCTTCCTTACTCCACACAGACACACACTTCTCTTAGCTTGCAGTAAGTAGCAACCCGGTTGTTAGTCAATTAGTGGATTGCTTTTCTGGGGGTAATAATCCCTCAAACAAAATAAACAATCTTTTTCTTTTACCCACACCTTCAAAGCCCTCCACAGCCTTGTTCCTCTCTATCTCCACCAATCCACCTGTTCCCTGCACTCAGCAAGCTGGCCTGCTTCGCGTCCCCCATTTCACTCACCTAACCATTGGTGAGTGGGCCTTCAACCTCTCTGCCTCCACCCTCTGGAAGTCCATCCCACAGTCCCTCCACCTCACCCCCTCCCTTACCTCTTCAAAACCTATCTCAAGGCCCTCCTCTTCAACCTCACCTTCAGTCACCCACCTATCCCTACCTTCCCTGCCCTCCATCCCTCCTGATTCCACCACCAGCTCGGGTCCAAATCCCTGACTGTCCAGCGCCTTGGGATGTCCTACTGACGTGAAACGCGCTGTGTAAATGTAATGTGTTGTTGTTGTTACCCAGAAAGGGCAGCATCGTGGTTGACCATGAAATAATGTTCGTTCTGCCTCCTGAGAAGATCACAGAGGATTTTATCAGTAACACCCAGAGTAGCATACAAGATGAACTGGAAGCCAGCAGTAGTGGTGAGGAACTCTCCAAACCCCTCTCCATAGCTCATAATCTGTCAGAATGTATGGGGGGGGGGGAGAGCACTGGATTGTCGGAGACGCTGACCTTCACATGAGATGTAGAACCTCACTCCTCGTCTGCGCCCTGTTCAGACGGTTGTTGAAAGATCTTCTGTGGTACTGTCAGAGAAAAGAGAAGAGACTTCGCTCTGTCTCTGCCTCTCTCTCAGTGTGCTGGCTGACAACTCGCTTGCTCACATCACGGCTATTTGTGGGGCATCACTGTACAGAAATTGGCGTTCTCCCCAAAATACATAGTCACTACACTTTACAGTGAGTCCTGTGAAGTGCTTGAGGTCCTTGATCTCCTAAACTCTCTCTGTCTGTGTCAGAGTGAATCTCTCTCTTTCTCTTGCCCTGTGACAGTGGTTCTCACTATCTGTTATGACCTGTTTCTGTTGTTTACAGGGAATTTCAGTTTTCAGATCAACAGTAGCTTCACGACAGTGAAGTTTGAGAAATCAGATGCTGACGGTAAGTGAGAAATCTTAACCCAGGGCACATCATGAGCAAACTCCGGGCAAACCACATTTAAACCACAGGATACGTTACACGTAAATCACAGAATATGTTGCATGTAAACACTACATAAACTATGTGCAGAGTTATCTAACTAATTTTATACCAGCACTGAAAGGGTTAAATTAGGAGGATAGGTTGCGTAAACTTTGGTCTGGATTCCCTTGAGTTTCGAAGGTTGAGCAGTGAACTGATTGAGCTGTTTAAAATGATAATGGTATTCGATGGGGTAACGGAAGAGAAACTATTTCCTCCGGTGGGGGGAGGAATCCAGAACAAAGTGGGGGGGGGGGGGCATCTTAAAGTCGGAGGTGGTGGAGGTGTCGAGTTGAGAGCTGCAGCGTTGGTGTTGGGGTGACCATGTGTAAAAGTTTGGTAAAGGCTGTTAGTGTTAGGGTGGATGTTGTTACTGCTGTTGATATTAGTGTTGATGTTGGTGTAGGTGCTGGTGTGGGTGTTGGGGTGGGTGTTGGGGTGGGTATGGGTGTGGGTTTGATGTTGGTGTTGGGGTGGCCGTTGGTGTTGGGGTGGGTGATGGTTTGGTTATGGCTGTTGGGGTGGGTGTTGGGGTCAGTGTTGGTGTGTGTGTTGGGTGTGTGTGTTGGGGTGTGTGTGGGTGTGTTGGGGTGCGTGTGGGTGTTGGGGTGCATGTTGGGGTGCGTGTGGGTGTGGGTGTTGGGCTGGGTGCCTTCGCCTTGCTTCCTCCCTTTCCTCCTTCAAGGCCGGTCTCAAGACAATCTTGTTGTTGGAGTGGGTGTTGGAGTGGGTGTTGGAGTGGGTGTTGGGGTGGGTGTTGGGGTGGATGTCGGTGTAGGTGTGGGTGTTGGGGTGGGTGTTGGGGTGGGTGTTGGGGTGGGTATCGGTGTTGGGGTGGGTGTTGGGGTGGATGTCGGTGTTGGGGTGGGTGTTAGGGTGGGTGTTGGGATGGGTGTCAATGGTGACCAGGCTGGTGTTTTGGCAGATGCCTGTGCGGCTGCAGTCAGTGAGGAGATGAAGCCACATTTCGAGATGGTGGCGACGGGGTCAGGCCTGGTGTGTGCCTCTCGCTGTAACGCTGTCCACAACGAACCACTCACCTGCTCACAAGGCCGGTGTGGCCTGACCACACGAGGACCCATCTGCTTGTAAGTACCCGCACTGCGCTAGTGCCACCTAGTGAGGGCACTTAGAGGTACCCGGGGGGAGAACAGGAGAAAAGCACCACATACAGCGGGGGGCAACATATGGGGGGGGGGGGGGCAACACACAAGGGTTTAGGCACCAGACATGGGGGATGGGGGGGGGGGCAACACACAAGGGTTTAGGCACCAGACATGGGGGGAGGGGCAGTGAGGTGGTGGAAGGGGGTGAAGGTGGGGGTCACAGTGAGAGTCAAAGGGGGGAATCTTGGGCTGGGAATCACAGTGGGAGGTGGGGGGAGGGAGGAGTTGGTGGGCAAGTACCAGTGTGAGACGTTGGTATGAGTGTTGGTGTAGATGTTGGTGTGGGTGTAGATGTGGATGTGAATGTTGGTGTGTGTGTGGATGTTGGTGTGAATGTTGGTGTGGGTGTGGATGTGGATGTTGGTGTGAATGTTGGTGTGGGTGTTGGTTTGGGTGTGTGCATTGGTGTTGGTGTGGGTGTGTGTTGGAGTTGGTGTGTGTGTGTTGGTGTTGGTGTGGGTGGTGTGAGTGTGGTTGTTGGTGGGGGTGTGGGTGGGGGTGTTGTTGGTGTGGGTGATGGTGTGGGTGTTGTTGGTGTGGGTGACGGTGTGGATGTGGGTGTTGGTGTGGGTGGTGTGAGTGTGGTTGTTGGTGTGGGTGGGGGTGGGGGTGTGGGTGGTGTGAGTGGGGTGTTGGTGGGGTGTGGGTGATAGTATGGGTGATGGTGTGGATGTGGGTGTTGGTGTGGGTGTAGGTGTTGGTGTAGGTGTGAGTGCGGGTGTTGGTGTACGAGTGGGTTTTGTTGTTGGTGTGGGTGGTGTGAGTGTGGGTGGTGTGAGTGTGGGTGGTGTGAGTGTGGGTGTAGGTGTGGGTGGTGTGAGTGTGGGTGTTGGTGGCGTGTTGGTGCGGGTGTAGGTGGGGGTGATGGTGTGGGTGTGGGTGATGGTGATGGTGGGTGTGTTGGTGTGGGTGTTGGTGTGGGTGTTGGTGTGGGTGATGGTGTGGGTGATGGTGTGGGTGTGGGTGTTGGTGTGGGTGGTGGTGTGGGTGGTGGTGTGGGTGTGTGGTGGGTGGTGGTGTGGGTGATGGTGTGGGTGTTGGTGTGGGTGGTGGTGTGGGTGGTGGTGTGGGTGGTGGTGTGGGTGGTGGTGTGGGTGATGGTGTGGGTGTTGGTGTGGGTGGTGGTATGGGTGATGGTGTGGGTGATGGTGTTGGCAGAGCAGTCAATTACCTTGTGCTGTGTGTGTAGCTGTGACCTGACCCAGGAGTACTGGTACTATGGAGATCGCTGTGAGCTGAGAGTGCACAAGGCCGGGATGATCGCTGGGGTCACTGTGGCCGCTGCTGTCCTCCTCGTCAGTCTGATCGTCCTCACCATCTACACCATGAAGAACCGGCAACAAAAACAAGCCAGGTAACTGACTGACCGGCTCACTAACTCGCTAACCAACCAGCCCGCTAACTAGCTAACCAACCAGCTCGCTAACTAGCTAACCAACCAGCCTGCTGACTAGCTAACCAACCAGCCCGCTGACTAGCTAACCAACCAGCCTGCTGACTAGCTAACCAACCAGCTCGCTGACTAGCTAACCAACCAGCTCGCTGACTACCCAACCAACCAGCTCACTGACTAGCCAACCAACCAGCTCACTGACTAGCCAACCAACCAGCTCACTGACTAGCCAACCAACCAGCTCACTGACTAGCCAACCAACCAGCTCACTGACTACCCAACCAACCAGCTCACTGACTACCCAACCAACCAGCTCACTGACTACCCAACCAACCAGCTCACTGACTACCCAACCAACCAGCTCACCGACTAGCCAACCAACCAGCTCACCGACTACCCAACCAACCAGCTCACCAACTACCCAACCAACCAGCTCACCAACTACCCAACCAACCAGCTCACTAACTAGCCAACCAACCAGCTCACTAACTAGCCAACCGACCAGCTCACTAACTAGCCAACCGACCAGCTCACTGATTACCCAACCGACCAGCTCACTGACTACCCAACCGACCAGCTCACTGACTACCCAACCGACCAGCTCACTGACTACCCAACCGACCAGCTCACTGACTGGCCAACCGACCAGCTCACTGACTGGCCAACCGACCAGCTCACTGACTGGCCAACCGACCAGCTCACTGACTGGCCAACCGACCAGCTCACTGACTGGCCAACCGACCAGCTCACTGACTGGCCAACCGACCAGCTCACTGACTGGCCAACCGACCAGCTCACTGACTGGCCAACCGACCAGCTCACTGACTGGCCAACCGACCAGCTCACTGACTGGCCAACCGACCAGCTCACTGACTGGCCAACCGACCAGCTCACTGACTGGCCAACCGACCAGCTCACTGACTGGCCAACCGACCAGCTCACTGACTGGCCAACCGACCAGCTCACTGACTGGCCAACCGACCAGCTCACTGACTGGCCAACCGACCAGCTCACTGACTGGCCAACCGACCAGCTCACTGACTGGCCAACCGACCAGCTCACTGACTGGCCAACCGACCAGCTCACTGACTGGCCAACCGACCAGCTCACTGACTGGCCAACCGACCAGCTCACTGACTGGCCAACCGACCAGCTCACTGACTGGCCAACCGACCAGCTCACTGACTGGCCAACCGACCAGCTCACTGACTGCCCAACCGACCAGCTCACTGACTGCCCAACCGACCAGCTCACTGACTGCCCAACCGACCAGCTCACTGACTGCCCAACCGACCAGCTCACTGACTGCCCAACCGACCAGCTCACTGACTGCCCAACCGACCAGCTCACTAACTACCCAACCAACCAGCTCACTAACTTCCTGGTTAACTCATCACGTGGCTCTCTCTCTGATTGATGCGCTCACTCTCTCTCATACTCTCACAGTTTGGGGGGAGCCCAGAGTGAGCATTGGGGGTAACTGCTGGGGTCTAACCAGCGAAACCCACACACAGCGCGGCCGGTTACTGAGTCAGTGACTAGTGAGTCAGTGAGTCAGTTAGTGAGTTCGTTTGTGAGTTAGTTAGTGAGTCAGTGAGTGAGTTGGTGAGTTAGTGTGTTAGTTAGTGAGCTAGTGAGTTAGTTAGTGAGTTAGTCAGTGAATTAGTTTTTACTTAGTGAGTGAGTGAGTTAGTTAGTTACTTAGTTAGTGAGTGAGTGAGTTAGTTAGTTAGGTATTAGTTAGTGAGTGAGTTAGTGAGTGAGTTAGGGCTTTGCTGCAGGAGCTGAGGGGGAGGATTCCCTTCCAGGTCCTGCCGATGGGCCGGGCCGGGCCGCCATCAGCACTGAGAGCCCTGGGATCCCGCGGCCCCTCCTGTCTCAGGAACCGGGAGTAGATCACATCCATTGTCAAACAGGTCACCTTGGAGCCAGGAGGGGGAAGGTGGGGAGTGGGCGGGGGGAGAGGAGGGAGAGGGTTGGTTGAGGAGGAGGGGGAAGAGGAGGGAATGATGGAATGTTGTGTCCTCTACACAGGGAGAAGCTGATGAGTGTGGAAAACAGCTCATTGTGGGAGGAAGACTTTGAGTGGCCGAAGCTCACTGTGTTCGGAGTTGGCCGAGGTACAGCCCAGAGCAGCGGCAGCGGCTCTCTCGATGTTTGATGCATTTGATAAATAATGATTAATAATAATAATATTCCTGTAGTTAATACAGCACCTGATTGTGTTGTTGAGACGTCGCCAAGCGCTTCACAAACTATACTGTCAGGTGTAGTGACTGTGTATTTTGTTGACGAAACACGGCAGCCAACTTTGCACAGCAGCGTCCCCACAAACATCATGGGTTGAGTGGCCCAGTCATTGTTATCAGTTTTTTTTTTAATGGAATTTTATCCCCAGGAAAAAAAGTCATCCGCGAGTTGACAGCTGATGGACTGTCCGACAATCCCCCGATTCCAGTCATTCTGTGCTTTTTGTGGGGATGTCTCTGGATGCAAATCACCATCAAAACACATAGCCATTGCCCGTGAAGTGCATTCAGACGCCCTGAAAGGCGTTTACACTCTCCCTCAAACCGTTCTGTTACTGTGTTTTCATCCCAACCCCAAAATGTTCTTTCCCACTAACTTTCTGTTTCCAAATCTATTGCAGAATCTCCTCAAACTTCCACAACTCCATCATCGTTGGAGAGTCAGTGAAACACAGTACTCCTCCCAACACCAACTCCCACTGGGGGGGCTTCGGGACCACAACCTTCTGACTGGCTGGTGGGGAGTTTTGGGGGCAAGAATGCCTCCCACTGAGCCGGGGTGGGGGGGGGGAGTCCCCATTGTTTTGTTTTCCCCAATCTTCTTCCTCTGACATTCAGAGCCAATTTCGACCCCTTTAGTTTAGAACGAGCAAATCAAAATGTACGCGGTGATGTGATCTGAAATGAAATTGAATGCAATAAAATCATAGAATCACAGGATTATACAGCACAGGAGGAGGCCATTTGGCCCATCGTGTCTGTGCCCACTCTTTAAGAAGAGCTTCCAAATCAACCCCTCTCCCCATAGACCTGATCAACCCCACTCCCCCGCTCTCTCCCCATAGCCCTGATCAGCCCCACTCCCCCGCTCTCTCCCCATAGCCCTGATCAGCCCCACTCCCCCGCTCTCTCCCCATAGCCCTGATCAACCCCACTCCCCCGCTCTCTCCCCATAGCCCTGATCAATCCCACCCCGCGCTCTCCCCCGCACTCTCTTGGGAAGACTCATGTGGAATACTATCAGCAGCAAGCACTGTTTTGGGCTGAATTACCCGTGTTTTGAAGCATTGCGCTCTGTGATCACACTCGCATTGGATCCTGCCCTTGATCGTATCGTCGAGACATCGCAAATTGCTTCACATGTTTCACCGTGAAGCGAAGTGACTGTGTCTTTCGTGGGCGAACTCACGCAATCGTGCGCATCACAACATCCTCGCAAATAGCCATCAAGCGAGTGAATGATTTTATTTGGGGGCTTGTCAGCCATCACAGACAGGAGAGATGGAGAGAAACTACCTTCTCGTTTCCCAACAGCACCGCGGGAAATCTTTAATGTCCGCCTGAGCAGGGCACGGACCTTCTGTGGTTGTGAATGAGGTTTAACGTCTCATCCAAAGGATATGTCGTCTCAGACAATGCGTTTCTCTCCGCGTCAGCCTGGACTGTGAGCTCAGACTCCCCGATGTGTGTATTTGGGGCTTGAACCCACAACTCCTCTCGGAGGCGAGAGGGATAGACAGAGATGGGCTGATATCTTGCATGATATCATGTGAATAAAAATGTTGATACCAATGACATGTCAATGGCTTGTGAAAGAGATTCCCAGAGGGTGGCGGCAGAGAGGCTGAAGGCCTAAATGCTGATGGTGGAGTGGGCAGGATGGGCGGGTCATGGAGGAGACTGGAGCCCGCTGAGTGGAGGGAGCGGGAAAGGAATAATAATAATCCTTGAATTGGATACAGCGCCTTATCATGGCTTCCCGACATCTCAAAGCGCTTCACAGAATAGACCGCAAAGTGCAGTTACTGTGCATTCTGTGGGGGAAACATCGACCAGGAACTGAGAGTGAGAGCGCGAGTGAAAGAGATGAGATTAGATCAAACACATTTGAGATAGTTTTAGGAAATAACATGATGGGATATAGTACAGAAGTCGCTCGGGACATGTGAGCCAGAAACCGCCAGGATGTGGGAGGAGAACAAGATGGAACTTGGTCTTTTCTCATCTAGCGTTTCTCATGTTCTTATGTCCTTATGAGAGCGATTGAAAGAGAGCGAGAGAGAGAGCGAAAGAATGTGAGAGAAAGAGAGAGTGGGGGAGGGGGGTTGAGTTGATAGAAATACAGGGAATGGGATGAATTTAGAGACACAGCACTCAGTAGCCAGGACAAGGACAAGGACAAAGTCTTATTGTTAAACACAAATGGAACAGGAGGTTATTGGTAGAATTCTGCCGAACACACAGAAAATTCTGGAAAACCGACGGGGCAAGGAAAACTCCGGGTGCAAGGCTTTCACGACTGGTGTGCGTCTTTATTAATTCGCGTTGTCAACAAATTCTTACAATAAACGGAGAAAAAAAACACATGGGTTTGTCTCCCGTTTTTAAACAAAAAGCAATAATAATAATAATAATAATAATAATCCTTGCATTTGATATAACATTTTTTAACACAAAACAAAATGAAGCGTTCATTAAAAATAGCAAAGAAAAGCTCAGATTTGTTGGGGGAGGGATTTGCAAACAGCGTTGTTCATTGGTGAGAGGCGCTCTCAATCTAATTTCAATTTGGGATTTGCACCCCCACCTCACCTTTCCCCTGCTCTGCCCCCGCCCAGCCCAGCTCCTGAATAATAATAATAATAATAATAATAATAATAATAATCCTTGTATATAATACAGTGCCTTATCACATAGTTGATGATACTTTGAAGAGGAAGCCAGGTTTCGGGAAAGAGGGAGTGAGGGAGGAGTAATGACTGTGTGGAGTACAATAAACTCTGATGATCATTATAGAATCATAGAATATTGCAGCACAGAAGGAAGCCCTCTTGCCTGTAGCAGCTCTTTGGAAGAGCTATCCAATCAGTCCCACTCCCCCCTCCCTCGGCTTAACTTTCCCGGTATTCCTTGCAAATTTGTCCTCTTCAAGTTCCTATTTGATTCCCTTTTGAAAGTCACTGAATCTGTTTCCACATTTTCGCAGCTTTACTGCACTGCACATCCTATCCCTTGCGTACAGACAGAGGACGGGCGGGGGGGGGGGTTAATTGGGGAGGGGCGCAAATATTGATATTTTTAGCGGCATTGCTGGAGTTACCGGGGAGGTTGATTTGTTTAGTTGTGAGCTTGTGAGGTAGGGTTCCGAGGGAGATGAGACCTCACAGGTTTGAGTAGCTGGAGTTTGGCATCTGAGAAAACCTGTGAATAGATACACAGAGAGAGAGAGAGAGAGAGAGTGAAAGCATTAGGGTTACAAAGACAGAGACAAATAATAATAATTAATCTTGTATTTAATACAGCAACTTATCACATCTTTGAGACGTCTCAAAGCGCTTCACAGAATATACTGTAAAGTGAAACGCGGCAGCCAATTATGCACAGTAATGTCCCACAAACAGTCGTGGATTGAGTGACCAAATTATTATTATTATTTTTTGTGGAGAATATTACCCCCCCTGAAAATGATCTACCGATTGACTAACAACCGAGTACCTACTGACTGCTGAGTAAACAGAGGCGTGTGTGTGTGTGTGTGTGTGCGTGTGTGTGTGTGTGCATGTGTGTGTGTGCGTTTGGAGTAAGGAAACTTGCCCAACGTTTCACCCTGACCTGCCTGGGAATCGAACCCAGGTCCTCTCGCTTGCGAGGCGAGGGCTCTAACTGCTGAGCTGCTGGGACGGCACTACACACTGTGTTCTGGGGAGACATGGAAACACAAACCTGTTGTAGGTGTGGTTGATACTGACATCTGGGAATGTTGGTAGGGAGCCATGTTGGTGAGAGAGGAGGTTGCCTTCAGAGGAATCTGTCACATCGATCACACAACAACAATAAATCCCAACCGGCAACCACAAACCTTGCACACAGCACGCACGGAACAATAATAGCAATAACAACAGCAAGCCTTGCATTTCATATAGCGCCGTATCACTCAAAGCGCTTTGCAGAATATACTGTCAGGTGAGAGGCAAAGCATCGGAGACGCTGGAAACCTGATATTAACACAGAAGTGGCTGGAAACACACAGCAGGTCAGGCAGCATAATGGAGAGAGGAAAGGGAGTCAACGTTTCAGATCAATGACGTTTCATCAGAACTGATCAGAGCTGCTATAAACTGAGTTGACCGCATATATTTTGAGGGAGGAACACAGCAGCCAAATTGTCTGGCCAAGCGTTTCTGCTGCTTGTCCAGCGAGGACCCCCTTCCCCGTTAGTTAGTTGGTTAGTTAGTTAGTTGGGGCTTTAGCTTTGGGGGAAACAGGAGCTGAGGGGGAGGATTCCCTGCCCCCAGTGACTGGTCGGCCCTTCCAGGTCCTGAGATGAGCCGGGCCGGGCCGGGCCGCCATCAGCAGTGAGTGCCCTGGGATCCTGCGGCCCCTCCTGGCTCAGGAACCGGGGACTAGAGACCGTCATGGGGGGGTGAGAGGGGGGGTTCGATACTGACATTGTGATGCCAAACACATCACCTTGGGGCCAGTTTGGCTCTGAGGAGACCCCACTTCCCAGAATGGAGTGAGTCCATCCTTACCAAAGGTTGAGAGCCCAATGGGGTTCACTATATTGCGTGTTGGCCACTTCACCTCCTCGTCCATCCAAGAGTTCTCAATCACATTCATTTCTTCCTCCCTGTTGAGGTCACAGAAATGGTCAGTTATCAGTTCTCCTCCTCCCCCTCCCCCAGACAACCCCCTCCCCTAGACACAGCTGCTCCCCCAGACACCCCCTCCCCTAGACAACCCCCTCCCCTAGACAACCCCCTCCCCTAGACACAGCCACTCCCCCAGACACCCCCTCCCCCAGACAACCCCTCCCCTAGACAACCCCCTCCCCTAGATAACCCCCTCCCCTAGACACAGCCGCTCCCCCAGACACCCCCTCCCCTAGACAACCCCTCCCCTAGACAACCCCCTCCCCTAGACACAGCCGCTCCCCCAGACACTCCCTCCCCAAGACACACCCTCTCCCCCAGACACCCCCTTCCCCGAGACACAGCCCCTCCCCCAGATACCCCCCTCCACTAGACACCCCCTCCCCTAGACACACCCCCTCCCCCAGACACACCTCCTCCCCTAGACATACTCCCCTCTCCCCACCCACCCATCTTCCCCTCGACACCCCCCCCTCTTCCCCGAGACACACACCGGCCTAACACCAAACCCATCCCATCAGCCTCACCTCCACCCAACACTCATGAGTGTCAAGTGAGAGAGTGAGTGAGCGAGAGAGAAAGCCACATGGTGAGCTCATCAGTAAGTTACTGAGCTGGTTGGTTAGCTAGTTAGCGGGCTGGTTGGTTAGCTGGTTAGCGGGCTGGTTGGTCAGCTAGTTAGCGGGCTGGTTGGTTAGCTAGTTAGCGGGCTGGTTGGTCAGCTAGTTAGCGGGCTGGTTGGTTAGCTAGTTAGCGGGCTGGTTGGTTAGCTGGTTAGCGGGCTGGTTGGTCAGCTAGTTAGCGGGCTGGTTGGTTAGCTAGTTAGCGGGCTGGTTGGTCAGCTAGTTAGCGGGCTGGTTGGTTAGCTAGTTAGCGAGCTGGTTGGTTAGCTAGTTAGCGGGCTGGTTGGTTAGCTAGTTAGCGGGCTGGTTGGTTAGCTGGTTAGCAGGCCAGTTGGTTAGCTAGTTAGCGGGCTGGTTGGTCAGCTAGTTAGCGGGCTGGTTGGTTAGCTAGTTAGCGGGCTGGTTGGTTAGCTAGTTAGCGAGCTGGTTGGTCAGCTAGTTAGCGGGCTGGTTGGTTAGCTAGTTAGCGGGCTGGTTGGTTAGCTAGTTAGCGAGCTGGTTGGTCAGCTAGTTAGCGGGCTGGTTGGTTAGCTAGTTAGCGGGCTGGTTGGTTAGCTAGTTAGCGGGCTGGTTGGTTAGCTGGTTAGCAGGCCAGTTGGTTAGCTAGTTAGCGGGCTGGTTGGTTAGCGAGTTAGTGAGCCGGTCAGTCAGTTACCTGGCTTGTTTTTGTTGCCGGTACTTCATGGTGTAGATGGTGAGGACGATCAGACTGACGAGGAGGACAGCAGCGGCCACAGTGACCCCAGCGATCATCCCGGCCTTGTGCACTCTCAGCTCACAGCGATCTCCATAGTACCAGTACTCCTGGGTCAGGTCACAGCTACACACACAGCACAACAACGACAACGACATTATGTTTGTAGCACCTTTCACGTTGGGAGGAAGTCCCAAGGCGCTGAACAGGCAGAGTTTTGGACCCGAGCTGGGGGTCGGGGTCAGGGAGGGTGGATGGAGGGGAAGCACGGAGATCGAAAGCACGGTCGAAGAGGAGGGTCTTGAGAAGGTCTTGAAGGACAGTAATCGCACACACACAGAGTCCCTCTGCGCTGTAATCACACACACTCTCACACACACAGTCTCTCTGGACAGTAATCACACACTCACACACACTCTCACCACACTCACACACACACAGCCTCTCTGGTCAAAAAAGGTCTTTCAAGCTTGTAGGAAAGATAATGGAGTCCTTACTGAAGGAGGAAACAGAAAAACATCTAGAAACGAAAGCCATAATAAAGGATAATGAGCGCGGATTTCAAACCGGAAGGTCTTGCTGACGAACCTCATTGAAATCTTTGAATGGGAAACAGAGAGAGTAGACAAGGGAATGCGGTAGATGTAATATATTTAGATTTACAAAAGGCGTTCGATAAGGTACCACATAATAGACTAATGAATAAGTTCAGAGCATATGGAGTCAGGGGAAAGAGCAGAATGGATAGATAGCAAGCTGGTTACAAGACAGAAAACAGAGAGTAGGGGGAGAGGGCAACTACTCAGACTGGCAGGGGGGAGGGTGCGCAGGCAGTGGTATTCCACAAGGATGGGTATTGGGACCCACTGTTTTTCACAATATACATTAATGATTTGGACTCAGGAATCACCTGGACAATTTCAACATTTGCATCCATCACCAAATTGGGGGAATAGTTAATCCAGAGGAGGACGGCAACACATTGCAGTGACATCAATAAACTTGCTGAGGGGACATTTAAATGGCAAATGCATTTCAATGTAGAAAAGTGTGAGGGGGGACATTTTGGTAGAAGGAATAAGGAAGTCACATACATCCTGGAAAAAACCTAAATGGGGTAGAGGAGCAAAGGGACCTCGGGGTACACATACACAACTCACTAACAGTAGCAATGCAGGTTAATAAGGCCATAAAAAAGCAAACCAGGCTTTGGGGTTCATGTCTAGAGAGATAGAAATAAAAAGCAGGGAAGTTATGGTAAACCTCTATGGAACCTTGGTCAGACCACACTTAGATACTGTGCGGTTCTGGTCCCCACATTGTGGAAGGGATGTAGAGGCCCTGGAGAGGTGTAAAGGAGATTCACAACGATGATCCCAGAACTGAGAGGTTATACCTATCAGGAAAGGCTGAACATACTTGGACTCTTTTCTCTTGTAAAGAGGAGGGTAAGGGGTGACCTGATAGAGGGCTTTAAAATGATGAAAAGTTTGGGTAGGGTCGACATAGGGAAAATGTTTCCACTTGTGGGGGAGACCAAAACCAGGGGCCATCAATATAAAATAGTCACAAATAGATCAAATGGGGAAGTGTGAAGAAATGTCTTCACACAGAGAGTGGTGGGAATGTGGAACATGCTCCACAAGGTGTTGTTGAGGCAAATAGCACAGATGTATTTAAGGGGAAGCTGGAGAGGTACGTACATGAAGGAGAAAGGATTAGAAGGTTATTCTTGAAGGCTTAGTTGTGGGACATTGCTGTGCGCAATTGGCTGCCGTGTTCGCCCACAAATATACAGTCAATTCACTTTACAGTGTGTTCTGTGAAGCACTTTGGGACGTCCTCCTGACGTGAAAAGCGCTACATAAAATGCAAGGATTATTTTATTATTATTAGCTGAGGAAGGGCAGCATAAACACCTGCAGAGACCGGTTGGGCCGAATGGCCTGTTTCTGTGCTGTATGGATTCTAATGACAGACACAAAGACACGTGCACAGTCTTTCTGGACAATGCGTGTGAGTCACACACACTCTCTCACACACAGTCTCTGCACTGTAATCACACACACACACACGGTCTCTGCACTATAATCACACACACACAGTCTCTGCACTATAATCACATACACACACAGTCTCTGCACTATAACCACATACACACACAGTCTCCGCACTATAATCACACACACAGTCTCTGCACTATAACCACATACACACACACACACACACACAGTCTCTGCACTATAACCACTCACACACAATCTCCGCACTATAATCACACACACAGTCTCTGCACTATAATCACACACACACACACACAATCTCCGCACTATAATCACACACACACACAGTCTCTGCACTATAATCACACACACACACAGTCTCTGCACTATAATCACACACACACAGTCTCTGCACTATAATCACACACACACACAGTCTCTGCACTATAATCACACACACACAGTCTCTGCACTATAATCACACACACACACAGTCTCTGCACTATAACCACATACACACAGTCTCTGCACAATAATCACACTCTCACACACACACAGTCTCTGCACTATAACCACATACACACAGTCTCTGCACAATAATCACACTCTCACACACACACAGTCTCTGCACTATAATCACACACACACACAGTCTCTGCACTATAACCACATACACACAGTCTCTGCACAATAATCACACTGTCACACACACACAGTCTCTGCACTATAATCACACACACACACAGTCTCTGCACTATAATCACACACACACAGTCTCTGCACTATAATCACACACACACACAGTCTCTGCACTATAATCACACACACACACAGTCTCTGCACTATAATCACACACACACAGTCTCTGCACTATAATCACACACACACACAGTCTCCGCACTATAATCACACACACAGTCTCTGCACTATAACCACATACACACACACACACACACACAGTCTCTGCACTATAATCACTCACACACAATCTCCGCACTATAATCACACACACACAATCTCCGCACTATAATCACACACACACACAGTCTCTGCACTATAATCACACACACACACAGTCTCTGCACTATAATCACACACACACACAGTCTCTGCACTATAATCACACACACAGTCTCTGCACTATAACCACATACACACAGTCTCTGCACTATAATCACACACACAGTCTCTGCACTATAACCACATACACACAGTCTCTGCACAATAATCACACACTCTCACACACACACACAGACACAGTATCTGCACTATAATCACACACACACACACACACAGAGTCTCTGACTGTAATGACAGAGCCACTTACAAGCACATGGGGCCACTGGCCCTCAGGCCACACTTGCCGGTACCACAGTGTAGCGGGTTGGGACTGTCCTGGTGACAAGCTGACAAACATCTCAGCCCAGAGCTGTCAATAACTGTGTCATAAAACTCCGAGACCTCTGCTGGCACCAACGTCTTGCAGAGATCTGAGAGAGAGAGTGATAGGAGAAACCATCACAACAGCGGTGAGATGATGATAATAATTAATAATTATAACAACAATAAGAATCTTGGCATTCGATACAGCGCCTTAACACGCCTTCGAGACATCTCAAAGTGCTTCACAGAATAGACTGTAAAGTGTAGTGACTGTCTATTTTGTGGGCGAAACGCAGGAGCCAATTGCGCACAGCAGCGTCCCCACAAACACTCGTGTATTGAAGTGACCAATTTATTATCCTATTTTATTTTTGAAGAATTATTATCCCCGGAAAAGCGATCCCCCAATTGGCTAACAAGCGGGTCCCTACTTTCTGCTGCGTAAACAGAGGCGTGTGTGTGTGTCTGTGTGTGTGTGTGAAGTAAGGAAACTTTGCCCTGTCCTGACCCGCCCGGGAATCGAATCCAGGTCCTCTCGCTTGCCCGATGTGTGTTGGGATATCAGTTGGAGTTTAACCAGTTAATCTAACCATGTAACCAGTACAATAGTTGACAAGGTTTCCCAGCTTACCGGCTTTATTTGGAGGTTGTACATCGATCTCTTTCTCGTCAAACACGAATTCTTCTCCACTCCCTGTGGGTTAGAGTGAGATTCAACAACAGCTTGCATTGGCACAGCGGCTTCACAGGGAGGAAGGTTTGACAGTGTCAGAGCCTAACGCTCGGTCAAAGAGGAAGGTCTTAACATACTCTCTGAAGACGGCCAAGGAGGGGGTGAGGCGGAGGGATGGAGGAGGAGAGCTGCTGAGGATGGGGCCTAGGCGCTAGGTGTGTCAGCACTGGGGGATGAGCTTCAATCCATGCAGGGAAAAAGGGAGAAGGGAAGGAGAGACGGTCTGAGAGGGCGGGGGAGAAAGGGAGGGGTGGGGGCTTGGGGTGGGAGGGGTGGGGGCTTAGGGTGAGAGGAGAGAGAGCTTCTGACCTGAGCTATTCAGTTGATTGACAATTTCCTTGGATACTTCGGCGAGGAAGGATTCTGTGAAATTCTTGGCTTCACTTACGAAAATTACGTCATGATCCACAATAACACTGCCCTTCCTGTTGGCCCAAAGACAAGGAGAGAATATTCAATTAACAGGAGGATAAAATTCTGTGGGTTTTCCAGGGCACTCACTGCTGATGGCAGCCCAGCCCGGCCCGGCTCATCAGCAGGACCTGGAAGGGCCGACCAGTTATTGGGGGCAGGGAATCCTCCCTCTCAGCTCCTGTTAACCATACAAGCCAGGGGTGTGGGGGTGAGTGGGAGGTAGGAGGAGTGGCGCAAGTGGGGTGGAGAGAGCAGTGGGTAGGAGAGGGGTGAATGGGGTGAGGGGATCAGACTGCAGAGTCCTGTAGCTCAGTGGTTAGAGTGCTCGCCTCGTAAGCGAGTGAACCTGGTTTGGATCCCTGGGCCGGGCGAAATATTGGGCAAGTTTCCTTACTCCACACACACAAGCCTCAGTTTAACCACCAAGTAGGAACCCAGTTGTTAGTCGATGGGTGGAATAATAAATAATAATCATAATTTGGTCACTCAATCCACAACTGTTTGTGGAACATTGCTCCAAAACAGTTCTTCCTGCTTCTCTACCTCCTGATCTCCTTTGGTCCGATGGTCCTAGTCATTTGGTCCTTATTTTCTTAAAGGGTATCCAACACCTCTCACACACATACAGACACGCACTCACCCGCCCTGCAGCAAAACAAACCTGATTTGGTTAATGTGAATTCCGTTATATCCAGTGATGCCACGGTAAGTTTTGTCCATCTGAAACACAGAGAGTGACATTACTCTTCTCACAGTTATTGTGGGTCGCCAAGATTTGCCACTGGCAAACGCCCTCAAGCTACAAACATATCCATCACCAAACTCTGTTCTAGGTCAGCCAGGTCTGACACACATGGAAACCCGTCACCGTGATCAGCCGGTGATCTGTCCACTCCCTCTGCTCCGCAGGCTCCAGCCTGTCTCACATCCCCCACCCAGCCCCCGCCCCACCATCAACAATTTGGCTTCTAGCCTCTCTGCCCCCACCCTCTGGAACTCCATCCCACAGTCCTTCCGCCTCGCCCCCTCCCTCACCACCTTCAAGGCCCATCTCAAGACCCTCCTCTTCAACCCGCCCTTCGGTCACTCTCCGACCACCCCCCTCCCCTGGCTCCCCATCTCCCGGAAAGAATGTCCCTTGTTTCTGACCTGCTCTGTAAAGCTTTTTGTGAATTCTTGGTACTCAGGGGTGCTTGGGTCCTTGAGCTGGTCTGAGAAATCCTTATTGGTGATCCTGACAGTGACGTCTACATTTGTTTCGACTATCTCTGTAAAACATCGAAAACCTCAGTTAATAAGATTTATTGGCTTATTTATTAACTAAATAAATAGCTCCGAGTCGCTGTCCAGCATGAAGGCCATTACATAACAACAACAACTTGTATTTACACAGCGCCCCTCACGTGGGGTAGTGTCCTGGAGTGCTTGACTATGGCGGAGTCTGACCCTGAGCCGGGGGAAGGGGGAGATGACCGTGAGCACAATCAGAAAGTAAGGTCTTTAAGCGTGATTTGAAGGTGGGAGGGAGGTTGCGAGGGGCGAGGCAGAGGGATTGCGGGAGTTTGGGGGCAAAGTGGCTGAAGGCACGGCCACCGACAGTGGAGCAGAGGGGATGAGGGACAAACTGTAGGCCAAAGCCAGCTGAGTGGAGGCAGCGGGCGGGGCAGTGGGGGGTGAGCAGATCAGAGAGGCAGAGAGGTGCCATGGCCTGAAGGGATTTGAAACTGCCACAAAACTCTGGAACACTTTTCCTCTATCCCTCCCTCCGCCTCGCCCCCTCCTTCCTTCCCCATCTTCAAGTCATGCTGAAGACCTTCCTCTTCGACCGTGGCCTATGGTCCCCCCCTCCCACCCCTCCCCCGGTGTCGTGCTCCATCACTGTGAAGCGCTCTGGGACCTGCCCTGCGAGAGCGGCACTGTGTAAAGTTGTTGTTGTTGGTTGTCGCGAGTGGGTTGACGTGTCGATGGGTTGACTTACCGACTTTGATCTCTTCCTGAACATTGTCACAGTATTGTCCAATATATGGGACTTTGCAGTTACACTCGACTCCTGTCCAGGTTCCTCCATTCTTACACGGGTTTCCTGTTCACAACGGATAAGGGTTAGGGTTATAATAGTCTATAATACAACCCAAAATTGCATTCAAAATTGCCTCCATTTCATCGCAGCAAACGGCTTCTCCTCCAGCCCCCACACTGTCTCGTGCGGTGTCCCTCAGGGCTTTGTCCTCAGTCCCCTCCTCTTCACCCTCTATATGCTCCCCTTTGGTGACATCATCCGCAGATATGGTTTAAATTTCCACATGTATGTGGATGACACCCAACTCTATCTCTCTGCCTCCACCCTGAACCCTGACCGACTGCCTGTCCGACATCAGGTCCTGGACGAGGGACAATTTCCTCCAACTGAACATCAGCAAGACTGAGGCCCTCCTGATTGGCTCACGCCAGCGCCTCCGCACCTCGGGCTCTGGCAGCATCAGCCTCCACAGCTGCACACCCCACCTCACTGCGCCAGTCAGGAACCTGGGGATCTTGTTTGACCCTGAACTGTCCTTTCTTCCCCACATCCACACCATGACGGCACTGCCTAACACCACCTCCACAACATTGCCAGACTCCGCCACTACCTCACCCCTCAGGCCCCCAAACTCTCACCCACGCATTCGTCACCTCAAGGCTCGATTACGGGAACTCCCTCCTCATCGGCCTTCCCAACTCTTCCCTTCACAAGCTGCAGATCATCCAAAACTCTGCAGCTCGTGTACTCTCACGTACCAGGCTCCATGACCCCATCACCCCCACCCTCGCCTGACCCCATCACCCCCACCCTCGCCCGACTCTTCTGGCTTCTCATCCCCCAGAGTTTAAGATCCTGGTCCTCACCTTTAAGGCCATTCATGGCCTTGCCCCCTCCTACCTCTCTGACCTGCTGACTCCCACCAACCTGCTCGCTCCCTCCATTCAGCGGGCTCCGGCCTGCTCCATGTCTCCCGCCCGACCCGCCCTACCATTGGCCTTTCTGCCCCCATACTCTGGAACTCCATCCCATGGTTCCTTTGCCTCACTTCCTCCCTCACATCCTTCAAGGCCGGTCTCAAGACCCTTCCCTTCAATTGTGCCTTCAGTCTCCCTCCCACCTCCCTGCTTTCGCTCACACGTACCTCACCCCTCCCCCCTCCCCAACCCTCACCCCTCCCCCATGCTCGGGTCCTGACTGTTTAGCACTTTGGGACTTTCTCCCGACGTGAAAGGCGCTCTATCAATGTCATTTTGTTGTTGTTGCCTTTCACACTGGGGGGAACATCCCAAGGTGCTGAACAGTCAGGGATTAGGACCCGAACAAGGGTGGGGGTGGTTAAGATCAGGGAGGGTGCAGGGCAGAGAGGGCAGGAGGGTGGTTAAAAACACGGTCGAAGAGGAGGGTCTTGAGCCGTGTCTTGAAGGAGGCAAGGGACGGAGTGAGGCAAAGGCAATATGATGAAAGTGGGAGGGCAGAGTGAGGCCCGACTGCTGATGGTAGGACAGGACGGGCAGGGGACATGGAGCAGGCTAGAGCCTGATGAGCAGAGGACGCAGACAGGTTGATAAGGGGTTAGCAGGTTGGAGAGGTAGGAGGGGCAAGGCCATGGAGGGCCTTGAAGGTGAGGAAGCGAATTTTGAACTCAATTCTCTCAGGGTTGGGAAGCCAGTGGATTCGGGCGAGGTGGGGGGGGTGATGGGGTCACGGGGCCTGGTGCGGGAGAGGACTGGAACTGCAAAATTCTGGATGAGCTGCAGCTTTGGAGGGAAGAGTTGAGGAGGCTGACAAGCAATGATGTGCATAGTCGAGCCTAGACGTAATGAAGGCATGTATGAAGGTTTCAATGGCCTGAGGGGTGAGGCAGTGGCAAAGTCGGGCAATGTTGCGGTAGTGGGGGAAGGCAGAATGAGTTAAGACACAGATGTGGTAGAAAAAGGACAGTTGATGGTGGAACAAGATGCTCATGTTCCTGACTGGCTTAGTAAGGAGGAGTGATCGTGATGCTGTCAGCGCCCGAGGTGAGGAGGCGCTGACGGGAGCCAATCAGGAGAGTTTGGTCTAGAAAGTTAGCTCTCATCTAGGACTTGATGTCTGACAGACATTCTGTCAGGACAGCAGTGGGTCCTGGAGTTCAGGGTGGAGGCAGAGAGAGAGAGTTGGGTGTCATCCGCGTACATGTGGAAGTTGACTCCATGTTTGCAGATGATGTCACCAAGAAGGAGCATGTACAGGTTGAAGAGGAGAGGGCCAAGGACAGAGCCCTGAGGAACTCCACATGAGACGGTGTGGGGGCTGGAGGAGAAGCTAATTCGTGGAGACAAAGTGGAGCAGGTGTATGAGATAGGATTGGAACCATTCAACAACAACAAAATTATATTTATATAGCGCCTTTCACGGCAGGAGGACATTCCAAAGCGCTGGACAGACAGAGATTCAGACCCGAGCTGAGGGTCAGGGTGGGGTGTGGGCAGCGGGGGAAGCAGGGAGGTCGAAAGCACGGTCGAAGAGGAGGGTCTTGAGGTGGGTCTTGAAGGTCAGAACCTTATAATGATAAAGATCCTTACATTTGATACAGTGCCTTATCACATTTTCAAGAAGTCTCAAAGCGCTTCACAGGATACACTGTAAAGTGAATTAACTGTATATCTTGTTGGTGAAACACAGCAGCCAATTGTGCCCAACAGCGAGTGTCCCCCACACAGTCGTGGGTCGAGTGACCAAATTATTATTATTTTTGAAGGGATTATTACCCCTAGAAAAGCGATCCTCCGATTGACTAACATCCGAGTTCCTATTTACTGCTGGTAAACAGAGGCGTGTGTGTGGAGTAAGGAAACTTGCCCAACATTTCGCCCTGTCCGGGAATCGCACCCAGGTCTTCTCACTTGCGAGGCGAGTGGTCTAACCACTGAGTTACAAGACTCTACACTTTTGTACAGTCACCCCTTCCCCTACCTCCCACTAACCAACAACTGATTCTGTTGGGGTTGTGATAATTGAACTAACAAACTTTGCTTTTCTAATTAAGTAAAGAATTTTCAAAGCATGAGTTTCTGAGTGTCTTTGGTTTCTCTGTTCTCGGGTTTTTAATTAAAGGAAGGCTATAAAGAATAAGATGGTCTTATTCTGCTCATTGCCCAGAACCCACTCACCCCCACACACCTCTGGCAAGCAGGATTACCAGGCGCTGAGGGGGAGGATTCCCTGCCCCCAGTGACTGGTCGGCCCTTCCAGGTCCTGCCGATGAGCCGGGCCGGGCTGCCATCAGCAGTGAGTGCCCTGGGACATGCGGCCCCTCCTGGCTCAGGAACCGGGACTAGAGACCGGCAGGGGGGGGAGACTCGATTCTGATACACCATTGCCAGTTCAGCTCCAAGGGGACCCCACTTAAAGCGCTCCCCCTCCACCCTCTCCCCCACTCATACTGAGGGGACTCACGCCCAACCTCGTTTGGTTTGGGGTAGGAATGGGACATTCGCTCATACCTTTTGGCGTTGGGGTGGTGGGAGCCAATGTGCTGATGTGTTCTTTATGAAGGGTTCACAATTTCGGAAGAAAGACACAGTTCAGGGTTACGTACAGTCAGTCTTTTACTACAATAATAATAATAATCCTCGCATTTGATACAGCGCCTTATTACATCTTCGAGTCATCCCAAAGCGCTTCACTGACTATACTGTAAAGTGTAGTGACGGTATACTTTGTGGGCTAAACGCAGCAGGCAGTTGCGCACAGCAGTGTCCCACAAACACTCGTGGGTTGAAATGACCAAATTATTATTTTTTTTTGAAGGAATTATTACCCCCAGAAAAGCAATCCACCAAGTAACTAACATTTGGTTTCCTACTCACTGCTTAGTAAACAGGCGTGTGTGTGGAGTGAGGAAACTTGGCTAATGTATCGCCCTACCAGCCGGGAATCGAACCCAGGTCCTCTCACTTGTGAGGCGAGCGCTCTAAACACTACAGGAAGGAAGGAACTAGACTCCGTACCTGGTATCTTTGTGGTGGCAGAGGTTTCAGAACCTTCTGTAAGTCGGCATGAGAATGGGTGAGGAAAGTGAAACAATATTAGATTATACATTTAATCATGCATTACCAATCACCTAATTGGCGGTCGGGCGTTCAGCTTCTCTCCCCCACGCTCTGGAACACCATCCCACAGCCCCTCTGCCTTGCTCGCCCCCTCCCTTGCCTCCTTCAAGACCCGCCTCAAAATCCTCCTCTTTGCCCATGCCTACGACCACCCACCTATCCCCACCCTCCCTGCAACCCCACCCTCCCTGATCTCAACCCCACCCTCCCTGATCTCAACCCCACCCTCACTGATCTCAACCCCACCCTCCCTGATCTCAACCCCACCCTCCCTGATCTCAACCCCACCCTCCCTGATCTCAACCCCCAGCTCGGGTCCAAAACACTGATTCTCCAGTGCCATGTGTTGTCCTCCTGATGTGAAAGGCACTATACAAATGTCATTTTGTTTGATTGCCTCAAGATTCTCTCTGCCCGGGAATAAAACCCAGGTCCTCTCGATTGATGGTGAGTGCGAGTGTGGAGGAGGGCGTTGCAGCTCACAGACCAGACGGTGTAGGTCACAGTGCTGGGTTTGCTGGTCTCAGGAAGGCTAAATTAGATGTCAAACAGCCTTCCCGTGGTTGGTGAGGGCGGAGAGGACAAGTCATGGCTACTGCTCCAAGTCCTAATGTCCCACTGGTGTGTGTTTGGCAGCCGGATGGTGGGGGAGTCCCTCTACACACTGACCAAACATCACTGCTGAGTGAGGCGCACACAAGGACAATAGCCAACTGGGTGGGAGGATAAGCTTTGCCCAGGGATCTACACCCGAGGAAGAAGAAGGCCCTATATGCCATGATCAGAAGTATACACCGGGGCGGGTGAATTAGAAAACAAATAATTAAGAAAAATATAGCGTGGACCTTGTGGAAAACGATGAGAAACATAGAGGATAAGTGACTGGGATGAACCAAAAAAAAAGATTGAAATAGAAAAGATAGTAAACACAAATAACCTGGAGATGGCGAGGAGTCTGGAGCTGGTGTGCCTGTAGATGCAGTTGTTGGGGTTGGTGGTGCGTCTGTAGATGCAGTCCCTGTTGTTGGTGGTGAGTCTGTGGATCCAGTGCCTGTTGTTGGTGAGTCTGTAGACCCAGTCCCTGTAGTTGGTGGTGAGTCTGTAGATCCAGTGCCTGTTGTTGGTGGTGAGTCTGTAGATCCAGTCCCTGGGGTTAGAGGTGAGGCTGTAGATCCACTCCCTGGGGTTGGTTGTGAATCTGTCGATCCAGTCCCTGAGGTTGGTATTGAGTCTGTAGATCCAGTCCCTATTGTTGGTGAATCTGTAGATCCAGTCCCTGTTGTTGGTGAATCTGTAGATCCAGTCCCTGGGGTTGGTGGTGAGTCTGTAGATCCAGTCCCTGGGATTGTTGGTGAGTGTGTTGGTGAGTCTGTAGACCCAGGCCCTGTTGTTGGTGAGCCCGTAGACCCAGTCCCTGGGATTGTTGAGGAGTCTGTAGACCCAGTGCCTGTTGTTGGTGGTGAGTCTGTAGATCCAGTCCCTGGGGTTGGTGGTGAGTCTGTAGATCCAGTCCCTGGGGTTGGTGGTGAGTCTGTAGATTCAGTCCCTGGGGTTGGTGGTGAGTCTGTAGACCCAGTGCCTGTTGTTGGTGGTGAGTCTGTAGATCCAGTCCCTTCGGTTGGTGGTGAGTCTGTAGATCCAGTCTCTGGGGTTGGTGGTGAGTCTGTAGATCCAGTCTCTGGGGTTGGTAGTGAGTCTGTAGATCCAGTCTCTGTGGTTGGTGGTGAGTCTGTAGATCCAGTCCCTGGGGTTGGTGGTGAGTCTGTAGATCCAGTCCCTGGGGTTTGGTATTGAGTCTGTAGATCCAGTGCCTGTTGTTGGTGGTGAGTCTGTAGATCCAGTCCCTGGGGTTGGTGGTGAGTCTGTAGATCCAGTCCCTGGGGTTGGTGGTGAGTCTGTAGATTCAGTCCCTGGGGTTGGTGGTGAGTCTGTAGATCCAGTGCCTGTTGTTGGTGGTGAGTCTGTAGATCCAGTCTCTGTGGTTGGTGGTGAGTCTGTAGATCCAGTCCCTGGGGTTGGTGGTGAGTCTGTAGATCCAGTCCCTGGGGTTGGTATTGAGTCTGTAGATCCAGTGCCTGTTGTTGGTGGTGAGTCTGTAGATCCAGTCCCTGGGGTTGGTGGTGAGTCTGTAGATCCAGTCCCTGGGGTTGGTGGTGAGTCTGTAGATTCAGTCCCTGAGGTTGGTGGTGAGTCTGTAGACCCAGTGCCTGTTGTTGGTGGTGAGTCTGTAGATCCAGTCCCTTCGGTTGGTGGTGAGTCTGTAGATCCAGTCTCTGGGGTTGGTGGTGAGTCTGTAGATCCAGTCTCTGGGGTTGGTGGTAAGTCTGTAGATCCAGTCTCTTTGGTTGGTGGTGAGTCTGTAGATCCAGTCCCTGGGGTTGGTGGTGAGTCTGTAGATCCAGTCCCTGGGGTTGGTATTGAGTCTGTAGATCCAGTGCCTGTTGTTGGTGGTGAGTCTGTAGATCCAGTCCCTGGGGTTGGTGGTGAGTCTGTAGATCCAGTCCCTGGGGTTGGTGGTGAGTCTGTAGATTCAGTCCTGGGGTTGGTGGTGAGTCTGTAGATCCAGTGCCTGTTGTTGGTGGTGAGTCTGTAGATCCAGTCCCTGGGGTTGGTGGTGAGTCTGTAGATCCAGTCCCTGGGGTTGGTGGTGAGTCTGTAGATTCAGTCCCTGGGGTTGGTGGTGAGTCTGTAGATCCAGTGCCTGTTGTTGGTGGTGAGTCTGTAGATCCAGTCCCTGGGGTTGGTGGTGAGTCTGTAGATCCAGTCCCTGGGGTTAGTATTGAGTCTGTAGATCCAGTCCCTGGGGATGGTGGTGAGTCTGTAGATCCAGTCCCTGGGGTTGGTGGTGAGTCTGTAGATCCAGTCCCTGGGGTTGGTGGTGAGTCTGTAGATCCAGTCCCTGTTGTTGGTGGTGAGTCTGTAGACCCAGTCCCTGTTGTTGTTGGTGAGTCTGTAGATCCAGTGCCTGTTGTTGGTGGTGAGTCTGTAGATCCAGTTCCTGGAGTTGTTGGTGAGTCTGTAGATCCAGTCCCTGGGGTTGGTGGTGAGTCTGTAGATCCAGTCCCTGGGGTTGGTGGTGAGTCTGTAGATCCAGTCCCTTGGGTTGGTGGTGAGTCTGTAGATCCAGTCCCTGGGGTTGATGGTGAGTCTGTAGATCCAGTCCCGGGGGTTGGTGGTGAGTCTGTAGACCCCGTCCCTGTTGTTGGTGGTGAGTCTGTAGATCCAGTCCCTTGGGTTGGTGGTGAGTCTGTAGATCCAGTCTCTGGGGTTGGTGGTGAGTCTGTGGATCCAGTGCCTGTTATTGGTTGTGAGCCTGTAGATCCAGTCCCTGGGGTTGGTGGTGAGTCTGTAGATTCAGTCCCTGGGGTTGGTGGTGAGTCTGTAGATCCAGTCCCTGGGGTTGGTGGTGAGCCTGTAGATCCAGTCCCTGGGGTTGGTGGTGAATCTGTAGACCCAGTGCCTGTTGTTGGTGGTGAGTCTGTAGATCCAGTCCCTGGGGTTGGTGGTGAGTCTGTAGATCCAGTCCCTTGGGTTAGTGGTGAGTCTGTAGATCCAGTCCCTGGGTTTGGTGGTGAGTCTGTAGATCCAGTCCCTGGGGTTGGTGGTGAGTCTGTAGATTCAGTCCCTGGGGTTGGTGGTGAGTCTGTAGATCCAGTTCCTGGAATTGTTGGTGTGTCTGTAGACCCAGTCCCTGTTGTTGGTGGTGAGTCTGTAGATCCAGTCCCTTGGGTTGGTGGTGAGTCTGTAGATCCAGTCTCTGACGTTGGTGGTGAGTCTGTAGAACCAGTCCCTGTTGTTGGTGGTGAGTCTGTAGATTCAGTCCCTGGGGTTGGTATTGAGTCTGTAGATCCAGTTCCTGGAATTGTTGGTGAGTCTGTAGACCCAGTCCCTGTTGTTGGTGTTGAGTCTGTAGATCCAGTCCCTTGGGTTGGTGGTGAGTCTGTAGATCCAGTCCCTGGGATTGGTGGTGAGTCTGTAGATCCAGTCCCTGGGGTTGGTGGTGAGTCTGTAGATTCAGTCCCTGGGGTTGGTGGTGAGTCTGTAGATCCAGTTCCTGGAATTGTTGGTGAGTCTGTAGACCCAGTGCCTGTTGTTGGTGGTGAGTCTGTAGATCCAGTCCCTGGGGTTGATGGTGAGTCTGTAGATCCAGTCCCTGGGGTTGGTGGTGAGTCTGTAGACCCAGTCCCTGTTGTTGGTGGTGAGTCTGTAGATCCAGTCCCTTGGGTTGGTGGTGAGTCTGTAGATCCAGTCTCTGGGGTTGGTGATGAGTCTGTAGATCCAGTCCCTGTTGTTGGTGGTGAGTCTGTAGATCCAGTCCCTGGGGTTGGTATTGAGTCTGTAGATCCAGTCCCTGTTGTTGGTGGTGACTCTGTAGATCCAGTGCCTGGGGTTGATGGTGAGTCTGTAGATCCAGTCCCTGGGGTTGGTGGTGAGTCTGTAGACACAGTGCCTGTTGTTGGTGGTGAGTCTGTAGATCCAGTCCCTGGGGTTGATGGTGAGTCTGTAGATCCAGTCCCTGGGGTTGGTGGTGAGTCTGTAGACCAGTCCCTGTTGTTGGTGGTGAGTCTGTAGATCCAGTCCCTTGGGTTGGTGGTGAGTCTGTAGATCCAGTCTCTGGGGTTGGTGGTGAGTCTGTAGATCCAGTCCCTGTTGTTGGTGGTGAGTCTGTAGATCCAGTCCCTGGGGTTGGTATTGAGTCTGTAGATCCAGTCCCTGTTGTTGGTGGTGAGTCTGTAGATCCAGTGCCTGTTATTGGTGTTGAGCCTGTAGATCCAGTCCCTGGGGTTGGTGGTGAGTCTGTAGATTCAGTCCCTGGGGTTGGTGTTGAGTCTGTAGATCCAGTCCCTGGGGTTGGTGGTGAGTCTGTAGATCCAGTTCCTGGAATTGTTGGTGAGTCTGTAGACCCAGTGCCTGTTGTTGGTGGTGAGTCTGTAGATCCAGTCCCTGGGGTTGGTGGTGAGTCTGTAGATTCAGTCCCTGTGGTTGGTGGTGAGTCTGTAGATCCAGTTCCTGGAATTGTTGGTGTGTCTGTAGACCCAGTCCCTGTTGTTGGTGGTGAGTCTGTAGATCCAGTCCCTTGGGTTGGTGGTGAGTCTGTAGATCCAGTCTCTGGGGTTGGTGGTGAGTCTGTAGATCCAGTCCCTGTTGTTGGTGGTGAGTCTGTAGATCCAGTCCCTTGGGTTAGTGGTGAGTCTGTAGATCCAGTCCCTGGGGTTGGTGGTGAGTCTGTAGATCCAGTCCCTGGGGTTGATGGTGAGTCTGTAGATTCAGTCCCTGGGGTTGTGGTGAGTCTGTAGATCCAGTTCCTGAATTGTTGGTGTGTCTGTAGACCCAGTCCCTGTTGTTGGTGGTGAGTCTGTAGATCCAGTCTCTGACGTTGGTGGTGAGTCTGTAGATCCAGTCCCTGTTGTTGGTGGTGAGTCTGTAGATTCAGTCCCTGGGGTTGGTATTGAGTCTGTAGATCCAGTTCCTGGAATTGTTGGTGAGTCTGTAGACCAGTCCCTGTTGTTGGTGGTGAGTCTGTAGATCCAGTCCCTTGGGTTGGTGGTGAGTCTGTAGATCCAGTCCCTGGGATTGGTGGTGAGTCTGTAGATCCAGTCCTGGGTTGGTGGTGAGTCTGTAGATTCAGTCCCTGGGGTTGGTGGTGAGTCTGTAGATCCAGTTCCTGGAATTGTTGGTGAGTCTGTAGACCCAGTGCCTGTTGTTGGTGGTGAGTCTGTAGATCCAGTCCCTGGGTTGGTGGTGAGTCTGTAGATTCAGTCCCTGGGGTTGGTGGTGAGTCTGTAGATCCAGTTCCTGGAATTGTTGGTGAGTCTGTAGACCCAGTGCCTGTTGTTGGTGGTGAGTCTGCAGATCCAGTCCCTGGGGTTGGTGGTGAGTCTGTAGATTCAGTCCCTGGGGTTGGTGGTGAGTCTGTAGATCCAGTCCCTGGGGTTGGTGGTGAGTCTGTAGATCCAGTCCCTTGGGTTGGTGGTGAGTCTGTAGATCCAGTCCCTGGGGTTGATGGTGAGTCTGTAGATCCAGTCCCTGGGGTTGGTGGTGAGTCTGTAGACCCAGTCCCTGTTGTTGGTGGTGAGTCTG